GCAGCTGTAGTGCCTCTTGGAACCTGACACTTGTTCCTAACTCGCCTTCCTGGCAGGACACTCAAGTTTCTTCATTCTCCCTCATCTGTTCCACTCTTCCCTCCACACCCAGGCATCCCGTCCGCCTGGGAAGCAAGCTACCTCCCCTCCCCACTCTAGCAAGTTCCCCAGTGGAAGACCTGCCGCTGATTCTTTGCCTCAATCCTTCCAACTCCCTTAGTCTGTACCGCTGGTAAAACAAATGGCATAGGGCCAGGCTTCTAGCTATCGGTCACTGCTTTCTACTTCTGGGAAGGGAAACCGGGTACCTGCAGAGCTCTGGGCTGCTGCTGCATGTGTGCAGAAGGTGGGGAGCGCACAGAGACAGGGCTGGAGCACTGCACACTGGAGAGGCAGCGGGGCCAGTGCAGACTTCCTGGGGCTTGTCCCCAGAACCAGGCTCCTCTCCAGGCACTCGCCGCCCACTGGCCTAGACAGATTCAGCACTGCCACAGCCTTGCAGTTCTCTGCCCAAGTATCTCAGTCAGTTAAGAGCCAACAAGAAACTAAAGATTCAATTACTGATATGCAGGAGAGCCAAGGAGAGACCCATGTCTTAAGTCATTTTTCTGGTCACTATGACACAATACCCAACACCTGCAAATTAACACCTTCATGATGGTGCTGTCACCCACATCTCTCAATGCCAGGCGGCTCAACCTCAGGTGGTACATGTTCGACTGTCCCATCAGTCAGCCTAGGGCAGTCCCACCAATGGTACAAGCTGCCCAATGGGATAGTCACACATGTACCACTGGTGGCTCAAGCCCGCAGGAATGTGTTTATTTTGGCTCGTGGTTAGTCAGTGGTTGGCTGGCTCCAAGGCAGGATGGCATGGCTACTCCTGGCACAGTGGACAGGAAGCAGAGAGTCAAGGGAGGAGCCGGGTAGGGAAACAGGCCTTTCCAGGCCATGCGTCAGGGACCACCTCCTTCAAACAGGCTTCATCTTCCAACAGCACATCTGGCCATAAACTCAGGAGTGGATAAGCCATGACCCATGATCCACCCCCAAAGGGCTTGACTGTAAGTGATGAGGCTCTGGGGGACATACAGATGTAAACCACACAGCTCACACCGCACAGAGTCAGGGAACAGGACTGGCCCAGGGAGAGGTTCCAGGGCCAATGGTCTCACCATCTTGGGGGGACGTCATCCCCCCACTTTCAAGGACCCAACCATCTCAGGGAAGGTCCACATCCCAGTGCTACCATGTGATACTTTTGACTTTCTTTTTGAGGGGACAGTTAAAGACCAAGAGGTGCCACAGGGGTGCTTTCATGGAAGGTTAGGTGCACCCTGAATACTAAATGCCTTACACACTGCAGAGAAACCAGAACAACACAGCCAAAGCATCATCCCAATCCTAATCAGCAGCTCTGACTAGAGCCCTCATGGCAATAGCGCAACTTTCACCCATTCTCCTTCTGGGGTGTGAATGGCAGCTATGAAGTCTTCCTCAGAGGTGGGAAGCTGAGCCACTCCTGTGTGGCAAAGCCACGGCCAGGGAGAGCATGACAGGCAGGACTGGGCCAACTACAAGGGTTCTGGGCAGACTCCTGCTCACCCCAAACAACATCACAGAACAGGGCACTGTCCAAGGCCAACCTGCATCCCTGAGTAGACGCACTCAGCCCCTTGCGCTGGTGCCCGCGGGGTGACCTTGTTTTGAAACAGGCTCCTCCAAGCTGTACTGGTGCAAAGGGGGTCACAGTGGCACAGGGTGGGCTGCGGCTCCCACGACTTGTATCCCTACAAGAAGAGGGGGGCTGGCCGTCACAGAGACGCGGGGGAAAGCACAGTGCAGTGTGAGGCAGGGTGGGTGTGGGATTTACAGCCCAAGCATGGCAGCAGCCATCAGAGGCTGGCACCAGATTCTCCTCCCCAGCTGCTGGAAGCCATTCAGACCTTCAGTTTGGATTTCTGGCCTCTAGAATGGGGGTGTGGTGGTGGGGTAAACTGTTTTCAACCATCCAGTCTGAGGTAGTAAAATGGCCCTGGGTCTCTGAAACACAATCATATGTTGCACGTGTGTGAACGCACACAGCTGCCTGTATACAAAAACTGTACTCTCTAACCTACTTTCACGAGTCACAAGCTCCCCGCTGAGATAGCCATTACAAATGATATCCAGCATAACATTGAAAACATTAAAGCTTTTTTTTTTTCTGGTACCGGGGGTCAAACTCAGGACCTTGCGCTTGCAAGGCAGGCAGCAGAACCACTGAGCTAATAAATCCCTGGCTAAAATGTTTATAGAAGCTTTTTTTTTTTTTTTTAAACAAATGATAGTCAGCATAACATTGAAAGCCTTCCCTCACTTGAACTGTTGCTAAAATCACCACAACCTAATGAAGCAGCTCTCTTCCCCGTTAAGAGGAAAATTTCCACAGCAAGTTATCAGGCCGGGGTGCAGCTGAGGAGCGGACAGTGGGGCCCGCAGCAGGTTCTGCACATTGCATTTCTCCCCGGAGGTAGCTCTTCTTCACCACTCCGCCCCCAGCAACCCCAACACCCCAGGAGGGTCCAGAATTGGGACGAGGGGTATTTGCCCCTTAATTAAATAAGAGGAACCACTGTGGACAGACGCAAGGTGAGCGGAGGGTGCCCCTGGGTCACATAGCCAGGCCCCTAGCAGGACACCCTCCATCTGAACTAGCACGGAACGCTGTGGTGGGCATGGTCCATGGGGTCCCCAGCGGGTTCAGGTACAGGAAGCTTGCTCCCTTGTGTAGCAGCCTAGGGACTGGTGAAAGCTTTGCCAGGTGGGGCTCACTGCATGTAATCAGGCGCTGGCAGTGTACCCTTGGACCCTAAAGTCACTGACTTGACTCTAGTTAGGTCTCTTGAGGGCTGCTATAAAAGAACATGATGGTCCCCTCCCAGCCCTCTGGCTTCCTGGCTCGCCCCGAGATCCCTCTTTCATGTGTTCCTGCCCTGATGGGATCCAACATGAGGCCCCCACCAGGGACCAAACAAATGGTTCACCTGACTTTGAATTTTCAGCTGCAAAACTGTGCAAAGGGAACAGACCTAAATTTCCAGCCTTGGGTATTTTTCGAGAGTAAATGAAAAGAGCCCAACACAGAGGACAACTTAGAGGTAATACCAAGAAACAGAAGGGGCAGGCAGCAGTTAAATTCCATCGCCCCAACAGACCCCGGCCATGCCCCCGGTCAGCTGTCCTCAGCTTCGACTACTAGCAACTGGACACCCAATGCGACTCACAGCACCCAAGATACCTTCTCTGCATGTCTGGGTGACAACACCACAACTTACACCCCAACCAACTTCAGAATGTTCTAACATGCACCTCAACTCAAGCAAGCACAGGCGACCTTGTGTTAACTTATGGGCTTCCCAGTGGTGGGCTCCCTGAGCAGAAAGTCTCAGGATCCTAGAGGAAGGCACAGGCAATCACAGCTTTCCTCATTCATTTCCTTTCCAGACAGCCAGCCCCAGCTCCCTTGGCCACATGACAGGGCTCAAAGTCCCAAGTACAGGAAGTGAAGAGTCAGCTTCCTGCTGGCAGAGAAGAGCAACGCCAGTCACTGCCTGCTTACAACTAACCAGGAACAGGTGGCAGCTATAGGAAAACAGAGGTTCAAAGGGCCCAGGGCTGAGGGCTCGGGGGTACCCCTGAGGCTCTGAGACATCCTTTCCAGTGTATCTGGGCATGGTGCTGCACTAATCCCCCATGGAAAAACTCTAGGTCAAGAACTAAATGCCAGATGGCCAGGGTGAGCCCAAAGGTGTAAGGAGAGAACCCAGACAACCCCTTCCTGGACCCTTGAGGTCACAGTCACAAGGGCCCTGGACAGTGTGAGACCCCAGCCTATAGATGGAAGAAAAGCGTTGTTTGGTTTTTTAAAAACCAGGTGTGACACTGTGAAATTCCAGCTTAGAGAAAGGTGTCACTTAAAAGAAAACTGAAGGCGTGGGGCTGTCGGTGATCACAGGTCACCCTACTGCATATAGTTTTTACTGTTTGTGTAACTATTCAAGATCAGTGCCCCTTGTTAAACAAAATACCAGGGCCCACTATAGACAGCAAAGAAACCAGTGTGGCACAAAGGTGATGGGACAAACAGAACGCCCAAAGGAAAAGAGCAGAAGCTGCGAGAGCTGGCCAGACGGAACTTCCCGCAGTCCCAGGTGAAAGCTGGAGGGCCTGAGGGGCACTGAAGGCAGGTTCCCTCGGAAAAGGTGTTCATCTTGTTCATCTCGTAAGTGGTAGGTTTAGCAGCAGACCCTCAGGAGTTGGTTTAATTGCTTTCCCAACTGTGAGCCCCAGGAAGTGAGTGAAAACCCCAGGCAACGGCAGGGCAAGACTGTGTAGGTCAAATCAAACTGGCTGGCTGCCACTCACACTCAGACACAGAGGAACAAATCACACGTGCCTCACTCAGGGACAGGTCCCGGAAAAGAGCAGGAGACCAGGGAAGCACTACTCTTTCCTACTTCTCCACCTCCTGCTTCTATTCTTGCTGATAGCCTAATTTTCCCCGTGTGCTCCCACATACAAGACTTTCTTCCAAGCCTCTTGCCTTTCTCTCTTCTCAGCCATCTTCCATGGGGGGAATTTAAAAAGTGGGCCTTTCCCTGATGCAACCACCTTGAGTTTGCATCACAGGACTGTAAAATTCTGCGGCACTCTGGGAGGCCCTGCGCAGAGCCCCTCGGAATTCTCTTCTCTGTGAATGGGTCCACAGTCACCAGGACAAGCGTTAAGTACTAGAACATGTGTTACAGGGGACACGTGAAGCTACTTACAACTACTGCTCAAAAGACAGCTAAGGGACAAAACAGGGTGGAATGATGAACTTAAAAAAAAGGGAAAAATGAAACAAAATAGGATGAGACACAGAACAGGGAGGGAAGGGAATGCTACAGTACAGAGCTGTGTCTCTCCTCTCTCTCCAAAACAAGACAAGCGCTGCCATGAAGAAAATGTATAGTTACCTGCATCCATATCTGCAAAGAATGGAACAGCCAGTAAGAAAAAGAAGGAACCAGAAATTCAGTGTCTCAGAGTTGGATTGAAAAGGTTACATGGAGAGAAAATATAATTTAGAAAACTGCCTGTGAGCTAGTTACACCTGACTAAGGAGATACGTGGCTTCCTACCATTATTATTAATTATATTTAAAGCAAAAAATAAAATATGGATATGTTAACAGAAGAAGCAAATGTCTAATGGCAAAAGAAATACCTAACTCACATGCAAAATGATTATTAAATGTTCATAATACAATATAAACGGGAAACATACTCAAACATATGGCGGTGATAATCTGGAAGTCTCAGCTAGAAAAACTGCTGTCTATGGCTAAGCAACATTGGGTATAAACTCAATATGCAATCAGGGAAGCGTCCAACCAATATTTAGGAGTAACAGTGGACTGATATTGGAAAGGACAGAACCATTCCATAGGAGATAAATTCAATGGGACTTCATGGCTCCACTCCACCGTTCCAAATGCCAGGGTGAATATAATTGGCTTGCTAAAATTCCTACAAAAGAACAGTACACTTCAGGATTTTTACTGCTTGGTATGTTTCATTACTTGCTTGCCATATGACACATTAAAGCAATGATTTTGAATATGCTAATGTAAATTTAAAAGCCTAAACTCCCCTAAGCTGCATGTCACCGCCTGTCATGCAGCTTACCTTCTGGAGATTCCTCCTGGACGTACGTGCCCGTCAGGTACCGGTGCACCAGGGCCGACTTGCCACTGGCCAGGTTGCCCACAATCCCCTGCAGCAAAGAAATGGACAAATGTTCAGGGTCATGAAATCACTCTGTTTAGCATACTGCAACCCGAGAGGCAACGATATCCGGCAACACCAAGCACCATCATAACCACATGTTCACTGTGTGTTCAACAAGGAACTCGGTACATTCTCCTGCAGGCTAAGAAGGAATCCAACACTCTCACCTCACTGCTCATCGGCCTCTAGAACTGTGTGAAAAAAGTATTCTGTTCATGAACCACCCAGATTAGGGTGTCTTTGTTGTAGCAGCCTGCACAGACTAGAACACCTGCCTAATGCCACAGCCACAATCGGGGACCCCTCCATGCCCCCCGTCAGCTGCCGACTCCGAAGGCTGCATCGGGATAATGGGATATGGGTCTGCCACCTGCCAATGCTGCCAACTCCTTCTGGTCTGGGTCTGCACCGTTCACCTAGCTCTCCAGCACAGCACAGCAAGTAGCCCATGGAGACGCCCACAGCACAGGCTAAGTGAAGGAACCAGTGCATGAACGAGTAGAGCTTGCTGGGCTCCACAGCCAAGAGGCAGGGCAAAGCCAGACGGCGAAGACAGAGCCTATGACAGCTGGTCCCGTCCGGATTCAACCTGTCTTTTTACCTGCACCCTCTGTAACTTGAGAATATCCACCTGATACTTATTCTTCTGCTCAAGGGCACATACTGTTTGTCAGCTTTGTGCGGAGAAAATCCAAAACAAGATGCTGCAGAATTAAATTTTTAATTAAGATTAGCTTCTCTACCCAAGGAGGAAAACGCTCCAAGTCAAGCGTTGCTCAGCTTGTGCTTTCTAGGCAGAACAGAAGCCCCAATCTTTTGTGGGCTGATGGGCCAAGACCCAGCTCACCCTGCAGCAGGACAACACTGGTCCCTCCCAGGGTGGGTGGTATGTGGTGGCACGGACATCTCGCAGACATTACAGGTACAAACCTCCCAGCAAACTGGTAGACAGCGACAGCTGCCTGGGAGAAGGAAACAAGAGTGAGGGGAAACGCTCATCAGGCTGACGCTCCACTGGGAAGTGGAGGCCCTGCTGCTGGAGGTCAGCCAGGGAGTGGGGAGCCAATCCCATCCAGGTCAAAGCGCTTCATGGGAAGAATGAGGCATCAGCACAGTGGCAGAGCTGTGTGCCAGGCAGGAGGAGGTCGTCACCTCTGACCTGCACCTGTATGTCTGAGCCATGAGCCTGGCACCCTTGCATCACAGGAAGGAAAAGCAAGGCCCTGGTGCTCCACGTTTCCCCACTTACTGGTAACCACGAGTTTGCCGAAAAGGAAATGGAGCCTTTTAATCCAACTCCCAGGTGGGAGCTCAAGGAAATCACACAAACAGGAGCTGACAAGCTGCTGACCAAAGCCCCTCTGCAGGAAAATGGCTACGGTCTACTCATGCTTTTGGCTCAGGCAGAAGCATGGAGCCAGTGCTGCCTGGCGCAGATATGCGGCCCCAGAACCAACTGACTGCTGATGATCTGACCACAACACAACTTCACAATCCCTCAGACACGGTACCACCATGGTCAGAAAGAAAGCACACACTGAGCTGTGCTCTCTGATGGAATCCCAAAGATCCGCTACAAAATATGACACAGAAAGCCCACTGGAAGCCCAATGGAAACTGCTTTCCATCGCCTCTCGGCTGCGCCTGAGAAATAGGACAGGGGTCCTAAGGCACTGACGTGAGGAGCCACCAGTCTCTGGGCCGCACAAGGGCAGTAGACAGTTGCAGCCCTGCAGGTCCTCAGAGGCTGCCTGACAGAACAAAGGGCACTTTTCAGGGCAGCTCTTCAGGCCCTGAACATTGTCAGCATACAAGGGATCTGTGGAGGGACCCAGGAGGGCATGCAGCCTGCTGATGTCGCCATGGAGGGTGGATGCCACAGCAATGCCTGGTTGTCCAGCCAGGGGGTCGGAGGCTGGGACTCCTCCTGCCACTGTGGACAAGTACCTGGTCCATGACAGAGCGTGAATTCGAGTCTCAAGAAAGGTCCGTCCTGGGGATGATAGCAGCCCCACACTGAGCCCCTCCTTCGTGGAACCTGACCTGTGCCCAGACCAAGTACTCTCCAGTGACATGCTCTGGAAAGCCCAGCAGAAAACCAGGGTCTTGGTAGAAATGCTCTCAATTGTGGACTGGCAAGGGAACACATGGGCCTCTTGGGTGGGCTCTCAGGAGGGTGGTCCCTTCCTGGTGGTCGCAGTCAGACTGTGGGATGATTTATCCTGTATGTCAACTTTGTTAGATTAAGCAGATATCCTCCCAGGGAGCCTGAGGGGTTCACGGAGTTGTGGCCTTGGGGTCTTGGTCTGGACCCTTGTCTGTTCTTCTCCTGCAACTGTTCCCTTGCTCTGATTCTTGGCCACCCTAAATAACAAGCAGCTTCGCTCTACCATACCCATCCCGCCATAATGTTCTGCCTTGGAGCCAGCCAACTGAGGATGGAATCCCTCGAAACCATAAAATAAACCTGTCTCCCTTAAATTGGGAGCATGTGATGTCCGGTAATAAGAAAGTAATCTATAATGCCATGGCCCCCTATTGTTTCAACTTAAAAACTTATAACTGAGCTTCTTAGTCACAATAGGGACATTTCAGTTCTCAGCAACCATATGGGACCCGAGTGTCAGTCAGCGGGTGGACACAGAGACGTCCTGCGGGGCAGGGGCAGGGGCAGGGCCAGGGTAGAAGCAGTGATTCCAGCCTCACATCCAGCACTACTACTTGTTGCCTGCAGCTTCCCGAGCCGGTTCCTTATGCCCCAAACCTCACTTTCCTCATCCTTGAAATGGGAATAACAGCAGGATGTTCCCATCATAGGCAGCTATCAGGACTAAGGAAGATAATTCCAAGAAGCACGTTAGAATAAGGCCTGCAGAGTAAGTGCCTCAGAAATACTGCTGTGGTCAGTAAGTTGCTGTCTCTGGACACTTGGGTACTTGGGCTGTCTTAACAGGGCTTATCTGAAACTAGCCGATGTCTCTAAGTTCCTGAGAGTATGGTCACCAGCTTCACGTCACCCAGTAGACAGGCATTTCTGAAATGTCCCCCATGGTTTAATACTGTGCCAGGGTTGGTGGTAACAACGCACACAGACAACAGAGTATGTAGATGTTTGGAAGCCAGTCCTATCAAACCCTGGGCTTCTAAGTCAGACACTCCATCAAAGGACACTTTGTCTTCTGTCAGAAAAGACATCCATTGGAAGATGCTACAGAAAAAGGTAGGAAAGGAAACTGAGGAGAAGGACCACAAGGATCCCGCCCAGGGACAGCAAGGGGGTATACAGGTTTTTGAATCAGGCACCTCCTACACACTGGTCTTTATTTCTTAAGTTTGAAAGCATGCATTTTTCCTGGCAACGACTCCTATCTGCTCTCCGCAAAGTCCTGAAAGTCTTCATTGCTGTAATCCCTATTTGAGACCAAGCACCCTAAAGGGCCCTGTCCCACCCACTAAGCACCCATTGAAGTTGTGGTCAGTGAGAAGAAAGGGCCAGGGGCTTGGGAGAAACAGCACGTGCAGCAGACAGAAAAGGCACATGCTGGAGCCACACCAGGAATGCGTCCCACCATATCTTGTTGCATATCCGGTAGGAACTTACCAGCCCTCTCTCTGTGGTCAGAGCCCACCACAGCACAGGTCACACTGTGCATGTGTATACAAGCACACCCATAGGCCCTGTATCTTGTGACAAAGAGCAGATGACTGTCGTATTTTTCTCATTGCTGAGACAAAATACCTTACACCCAAAGTGAAAGGAGGAAAGATCTATTTAGGTCATAGTTTGCTGAGGTTTCAATCCATAGTTGGCTTGGCTCCAAGACAGGGTGGCACGTGGCAGAGGGGCAACACAGAGAAGAAACAGTCAGTGGCAAGCAGGCAGGCAAGATCATGCAAGGGCCTTTAGCAGCTTCTTGCTGTCCCTTTTATAGTCTACCTGGGCTACTAGGATTAGGACAGTGCCAAAGCCATCAGCGGAGTAATTTCATAATCATACACCTTAAATCCCAGCATGACACTCTAGATCTGCCACATCTGAAAAGCCCCATCCATGACTGCATGAGGCTTTGGGGTACACCTAGACACGGGCCATAGCAATTATTTAAAAAGTGGACCTGTCCCCACTTCCTTCCATCCTGAGGCACAGGATGTGGGTGGGGCAGGCTTCAGGAGATGACCACAACAGGCCTCTTCCATGTCAGCCAACCGTGCTGGCTAATCTTGACTGTCAACTCGAATGGGTTGAGCAATGCCTGGGAAATCAGTCAAATACACTTCTGGGTATGGCTGTGGATGCTTTTAGAGACAACCAGATCTAACTGCATCACGGGTCAATTCGCCAATGGGAACAGAATTAGATGGCATCATTGGTAGGTGGTGGAGAGACAGGGCCTCAAAGAAGGGAGTAGATCACAGGGGTGTGGTGCTGGACACTACATCTGGCCCCCAATCTCTTCCTCTCTGTCTTTCTCTTTCTCCTTCCTGGCTGCCATGAGCTTCGAGGCTCTGCTCATGGCACTATGTCCCTCTGCCATGTTCTGCTTCACCTCAGGACATAGCAATAGACCCAGGTGACCGTGGACTGACACCCCTGAAACCACAGCTGACATAAACCCTTCCTCATCTAAGTTAATATTCTCAGGTATATCACCACAGCAATGCACGGTAGACAAACAAACCAATCTAACCTTTAATGAAAGGGTAAAGTTCATATAAAAGCACAAAACTCTTTAATTTTATGTCAGTATTTCATAATAAAGTCGAGTTTTTAAGAACTATGCATAGCCAAGCTTGCAGGCTGATTACTGAAATCCTCAGATAAATCTCCCCCAGTGTGTGGGCACACACATGTGAGAGCGGGGACAGGAGAGAGGAGGTGCTGTGGCTTTGAACTGCATCCAGAATGTGACTGACAGCTGTTGTGGCCGCGGCAGGTACACTTAGGGCTCCAGCCTCCAATCACCAGGGACACCTGGCCCTTCGCGGGGACACACCCCAGTGCACGTCCACCTCTGGGCTCCAGTGCTAGAGCTCAGCCCCCGTGGGCTCCATGCCACCCTGCGGAGCCACTCTCTTCCCACAGCCGGGGACAAAGCACTGAGGCCAGCAGGAGCCACTCACCACTTTGAGCTCTGGCACCGATCGGCTCAACGTCCATTCCTGGCTGTTCACAAAGGCATCTGCAGAAGAGCAGAGAGAAAGCAAAGTTACAAATGAAGGTTCAGCCAAGAGCAGGTTCAAAGGCCCCACTGCGCCATCCTCAATGGGAGGCACACAGAAGGCAGTACAGCCCGCCCTCTATGTCCCTTCGCACCCTCCAGGGAGGCCCGACTCACACCGTCCCCGTTACCCCGCTCAGCTACAGGTAGGCCTTCCTGGTGTCCAGAGCAAATCCGAAGACCATCCAGACTGCTGCCCATAGTGTGATGTTCCAGGAGGCTCCTGGCTCTCTTGGAACTGACTCCAAATCAGCCAACTTTCATTTCCTTTTTCAGTGTGCTAAAATTGTCACAGTGTCCTGAAATGTCCTGCATGTTTGAGCAGCCAGGCAGGCCAGGAACACACTGTCCACAGGACAAAAGCGGCAAGGGCCAGCAGCCACTCTGGACCAGATGCTGCTGGTCCTATGCTGTGGGGAAGGGGACCCCAGTTCTAGGGAAGGGCGGCTAGGAATCTTGGGAGGAACTGGCTGGCAGTAAGGAGCCAAGAAGATGCTCGGCTGATGAGAAAGTGCGAGGGGAGCCAGTAGGACTGTGTCTGACAGCAGAGATGCTGGGCTCTGAGGGGATACAGCAACTGCCCAGCAGGCAGACGGGTCAGCAGAGGCTGGCTGCAGGAGCTCGGGGCGGAAGCCCTGAGGAAGGTGTCTGGATGGGCGACGGGTCCCCAGCACAGCCTCAGAGACACCCAAGCCACCCTCCCCGCACCGCACCCATGCAGACAAGATGGGGGCTGACACTGGAGTGCGATCTCGCAATGCGGCATCCAGCCCAGAGCCAGCCACGCACCCCCTCACTCAGCACAGACAAAGACAGCACCCATGAACTGCGGGAGCCTGGACCTCGGGAGCCCAATAGTGGAAACAGATGGTGACTAACCCTGCTGTTAACCACACCACCATCGAGGTGACAAAGCCATACGCCATACGCCTACCCTCAACTGTTCCTTCCGGACAGTGAGCATGGCCTTACAGAACTCACAGTGGCATGGGACAGTGCAAGAGGGCATGAGGTAAATGACCAGGGCTTTCCCCAGCACATGCACAAGTGTCCAGCCACTGAGCTTCCCCATGGCTGCACTTGTAGTGAACCCCAACCCTGGTTAAGTAAGCATTAAATTCACAGTCTGCACAAGCCAGACAATAAAAATGACCGAGGCCTCAACGCACAGAATGCACCCCAGCACTCTCTGCAGTGACAACGGCAAGGTGTACAACGGAGACACACAGGGTCCCAGTGCACGGCAGAGCACGGTGTGTGCGCCTATAAAACACACACATGCGTGTCCAGGCTGAGACTCTAAGTTTAAGAACTTAGCAGCTGCTGATTTATTTTCGGGGACCAGGCGGCAACTTTCATTTTGCATTTTCCGTTTGGTAGCCTTTATATTTTATACCATTTAGCAGGTAAAAGCTTACACAGTTTTTTTAAATGACCCTTTGGAGTAAAATAAAGACACAAAAGTTCACTGCTTGGGATTTAGCTCAGTGGTGTTGCTGCCTGCCTTGAAAGCACAAGGTCTTGAATTTGATCCCCAATACCAAAAAAAAAAAAAAAATCTCACCTGCTTTATTGCATGGCTAATTCTTAAATGTGTACCACACCATAAGACTAAGTTGATCACAACAGATACTCATTACAAATTAAGCAAGGCTCTATTAAACAAAGATGTAATATATAAATATTTCCTAAGTCAAAAGGAATATACTTTTGTTTGTGGCAACCATATTAATAAAATAAATGCCTGACAGAAACAAACCTCTTTTTTGTTTTGTTTTTGGTATCTGGAGATTGAACTCAGGACTTTGCGCTTGCAAGGCAGATGCGGTACCACTGAGCTAAATCCCCGGCCCTCAAACCTCACTTTAAATAAAGCCATTTAGTTAGAATACTTTCTCGCTAACTCCAACCTTGCCCTCTGGCCCACCGGCAATGCACAGGGACAGGTGTCCCAGGTGACAGTGGCACTGTGGCCCTACACAGAGACTGAGTCACACAGTGAGGGGCGGATCCCAGTCCAGGCTGGTTGCCCCGCCTCACTCTGAAGCCAGGTACAGCAACACGTAAAGGGTTGGTCACCCTGCTCCAGGGCTGGGGACACCCCTGGGAAACATCTGGGCAGCTGCACGGGATCAGCCAACTCCCCAGCCACAGGAGACGGCCCTCATGTGAACAAGCACTCAGGGTCCCCTCAAGTCCTCACTTGGGAAGGAGAGGCGCATGAGATGCCACAAACACTGTTGGAGGGGATTAAAAGGACTGACTGCACCCAGCCTAAGGATCCAATGGGAAACCTCCCCAATGGCGGGCAAATGCCCAGAGGCATGGCCATCCCCAGCCCGAGGGAAAAGAAGACTCCACAATACCTCTTGCCACTGACACAGCCCTGCTCCTTCCAGCCATGCTGGTCTCCAAGGCACATGAGGACCCCAGCCCTGAGCCTAGCCCCCGCCATGCCACATCAGAGCACTAAACTCTGAAGGACACCCTAGCTCAGGAGGCACAGAGTGATGGGAAACTTTCATTGGCAGTAAAAGCCCATCCTGGCTTCTTTGAATGGGGAGACAAGGAAAGAAAGAGCAGGAAAATCAGATACTGAACACCGATGAGATTCTCCATTGAAGATAAACGTTCAGCCTGGTGTACAGACAAAAGTGACCAAAACACCAAACAGTGAAGGAAAACACCAAGGCCCTGCTGTCAGACCCAGCCTGGGGCACCGGTCACGGGCACAGCACGTAACCATTCAGAATTTAAGAGAGCAGCCTTACCTAACAATGGGACTGGGGCCAGTGGCCTGGCCACATGTGCTCACCGGTAGAGAAGAAGTGAAAGTAGCAGGTGCAAGATTCACGGAGATGTCTTTAGCAGGGTATTGTTTTCCACACTGTATTTTACTACAGTGAAGCTTCCTTATTCACTGCAGTGCTGCAGCTGACTGATGGACAGACTGGAGGAGACCCCAGTCCCCATGCATGCTGGGCCAGTACGGTCACTAAGCTCCATCTCCAGGCCCTAATGCCTGTTTAGATTCTCAGTTACAGAAGGTGCACTGTGCCCTGACCTCCAGGCTGGATGCATAACATGGCATCTAACATGCGTGACTAAGATGGGCAACCAATGATCAACACAAACACTGTGGCCGTGGGTGGGGGTGCAAGGACATGAGCGCCACCGTGCTCCAGGTGAGCAGGCTGCGGGCCAGCAGCTATACCACCATGGGGACAGCAGCTGCCTCCTGAGGGACCATGCTCCACAGGGGATGCCACACACTGCCACGAGGGCCACCCACTCTAGAAGAGTGGCGCCAGCAACTCCCTGCACACCGGAGACTCTGCCTGACACCCCTACCTGGACCCTACTCCTGCTCTCTATGGCCCCACCCAACTCTGCCACAAAGGAAGCCAAGGGCCCTGAGCCTTCCTCTGGCAGTGGGCCAGGGACCACAGCAGTTGGGCTCGGCAAACAGATCTGACCGGGGTGGGAGAAACAGACCCTGGGAAAACAGCACAGACCAAAACAACGTCAGTGGAAGTCATGCGCAGTTTCGGTCACCAGGTCCAGCCTGCCCTGACCTCCTGCTGCACCATGCCAGGACCCCGCTCCTAGGGTTGCAGAGGCAGCTGGAGCCAGCTGGAGCCAGCGGTACCTCAGGACAGCATCCCACGCACAGGCCTTAAGCACCCAGAGTCCCTCCCCTAGCTTTGGAGGAGTGCAGCTGCTTCCCCGGCCTCCAAGGAGGCAGAGCAAACAGGGGCAGCACAGGAGCTTCTGGCACCTGTGGCTCCCAGGGCCACCTTCTGCCACACACATCTCGGGGACAAGACCCACGGGACACAAATGCACACTGACACTGATAGAGAGGCCAGACCCCGGGCCAGGGCCAAGATCTGAACAAAACAAACACAAACAGAAACTAGCCAGGGGTTTATTTCAGTCCCTGGAGAGCCATTTAGTTTCCATGGCCTGGACTTTCTTAACACTCCTCAGTTCCTGTCATTCTCTGCTGGTAACATCGGCGTCCCCTGGCCTCATGGTATACCACCTAAGACCCCACCTGTGACCCAGTGGGCCTCGAGAGTGCTACCCAACCTAGCTACTGCCAAAACTACATGTATGCAGAACCATGCATTTCCCCGGGAAATGTCAGGACCTCATTATACTGCAAAGAAAATATGTGCTCCGATTTGGGAAAAACAGACATGTCCCTTTCCTGGAAAACCCCCTTTGCACCAAAGGGCAGAAGCATGGTGAATCCAGCGGGGACAGATGCCCGGCCCCAGCTGTTTCACCATCTCCTTGTGGCCCCGCAGGGATGCCAGACCGTGCCCGACTCCCATGCACTGGGTGTGCATGCGCAGAAGTGGTCCTGCCACAGATGGACAGGGCAGCACAGCACGGTGCTGGACACAGAGCCACCCTCCCTAACCCTGCCATCTCACAGCACCTCTTCCACTTCCTTACTTGATGTCCATAAAGCCAACACTGGCACACGCCTGTCATCCCAGCACTTTGGGAGGCTGAAGCAGGAAGATCACAAGTTCAAGTCCAGCTTGGGCAATTTAGCAATGAGGACTATCGCAGCTGAATGCAAAGGCCCTGGGTTCAATCTGGCTGGCAAAAATTTAAAAACAATCATTTAAGCTTTGAAACTGCTAAGATTTTGCAGAGTGTAAAAAATTCTGTTCTCAGCATCTCCTTCCCACAGCACAGTCTGCCTGCTTGGCAGGAAGTAAAGAAGCCTGTGGACTCTATGGACCTCTGGTTCCAGGAGCAAGCAGGAACAAGGGGTTAAACCCACAGCAGGGTCCTGTGCAGCGGCCCCGTTTTCCGGTGAGCCTGCACTGAGCAATCCCCTGGTCTGGGCAGCTGTACTGCGACTGCCTCCTTGCTCACTTGAAGCCAAAACTAAGAATTTTAGAGAAATGAACAGAAATCTACTGGGATAATAAACCATGGTT